CCGAAATCATGAAAAAAAGTCATAGTATAGTATGTCGTCCCAAATCAAGAAAAAAAGTCATAGTTTAGCATGTCATCATAAATCAGTAAAAAACTTCGTAGTATAGTATGTCGCCCTAAATCATGAAAAAAAGTCATAGGATAGTATGTTGTCCTAAATCATGTAAAAAAGTCATACTATAGTATGTCGTCCAAAATCAGGAAAAAAAAGTCACAGTATAGTATGTCATCAGAAATCAGTAAAAAACTTCATAGTATAGTATGTCGCCCAAAATCAAGAAAAAACGTAAGAGAATAGTATGTCATTCAAAATCAGGAAAAAAAGTCATAGTATAGTATGTCGTGCAAAATCATGAAAAAAATCATAGTAAAGTACGTCGTCCGAAATCAGGAAAAAAAAGTCATACTAGTATGTTGTTCGAAATCATGAAAAAACGTCATAGTATAGTATGTCGCCCAAAATCAAGAAAAAACGTCATAGAATAGTATGTTGACCGAAACAATGTAAAAAAGTCATAGTATAGTATGTCATCCGAAATCATGAAAAAAGTCATAGTATAGTATGTCGTCCAAAATCAAGAAAAAACGTCATAGAATAGTATGTCGTCCGAAATCATGAAAAAAAGTAATTGTATAGTATGTCGTCCAAAAAAAAAGAAAAAACTTCTAAGTACAGTATGTCATCAAAAATCATGAAAAAACATCACAGTATAGTATGTTGTACTAAATCATGAAAAAAAAGTCATAGTATAGTATGTTGTCCAAAATCTTGAAAAAGTTATAGTATAGCATGTCATCTGAAATCATAACAAAACATCATGGTATAGTAAGTTGTCAAAAATAATGAAAAAAAAATAATAGTATAGTATGTTGTACGAAATAATAAAAATCGTCCAGGTATAGTTAGTTGTCAAAAATCATGAAAAAAAGTCATAGTATAGTATGTCGTATGAAATCATAATAAAACGTCATAAACCATCAAGAAACATCTTAGTAAAGTTTATCGTCTGAAATCATAATAAAACATCATAAATCATGAAAAAAAGTCATAGTTTAGTATGTCGTCAGAAATCATAATAAAACGTCATAAATCATGAAAAAAAGTCATAGTATAGTTTGTCGTCTGAAATCATGAAAAAAAGTCATAGTATAGTATGTCGTCCGAAATCATGAAAAAAAGTCATAGAATAGTATGTCGTCTGAAATCATGAAAAAAAAGTCATAGTATAGTATGTCGTCCCAAATCAAGAAAAAAAGTCATAGTTTAGCATGTCATCTGAAGTCAGTAAAAAACTTCGTAGTATAGTATGTCGCCCAAAATCATGAAAAAACGTAATAGAATAGTACGTCATTCAAAATCAGGAAAAATAGTATAGTATGTCGCCCAAAATCAAGAAAAAACGT